GTAGGTATGTGGGGGCGTGTTCGAACGAGCCGTTTTAGGTAGGTGTGGTTGACTCTTAACTTTTATAAAGAATATCTCTTTGGATTTGAGACTTTAGTCTTTGCAACTTTACAGATCTTCTTTATGCACCAAGAGCTTGTAACACTCCAAAGAGAAAGGAAAAATTGAAATCGCATCATATGACCCCTTTAAAAAAATAAAGGCGGCTCAGTATATTCCATTATAAAGACCAAGACCAATTTATACGGTAAAATATACATAAAAATGTAGGGAATATATTCATACTTCGTCTAAAATGGATACATTTATATATTTTTATTAAATTGTATTTTTTATTATAATCTAAATAAGCAATATTACACTCATAGCTGTGTGATATCACTCCTATACAGTATATTAGTGCTGTCAATCGATTAAAAATTTTTACTAATTAATCACATTTTTTTCTGAAATTAATCGCGATTAATCCCACCATTAAACATTAAAGTTTTAAAATATACTTTTATATTGCAATAATTTCACATTATGGCATCTTTTATATGACTTTTTTGTGCTTGTAAAGACGTTCTGCATTTAAATAAACAAAATTATTTTTTCAAGAAAAAAGAGACTGAAGTAGCAGTTGTTGAGTGGGGTGGCCAACCCTAGCTCCGCCCCTGTGTTAATTGACCATTCGTAAAGACCCGCCCTCCTTAGTTACTATTGCTGTCCCCGACAAACAATGCCACTCTCTCACTACACACTATCATGTTCTCACGCAATGAAAAATACATCGCAGAGCAAAGAAAAAACTGACAACGTGCCGACAGACAAGACAGAGCAGGTTACTTCTGGTATGAAACAAGATAGATAGATAGATAGATAGATAGATATCACACATTATCTGTATAAAATACTTTTATCTGTAGAATAAAATATATTTATATTTTTAATTTTATTTATATACAAATAATTGTGATTATCTTACATTGTGCATTTTTTTTTAGTGCCACAGAAATCACACATTACCACTTTACAGCAAAGTGCAAGGAGAAGATAGACTGGAGAGGGGGCGACTTTAATATTTCTGCGTAGGATGCCCTGCAGTGTATTATGAACCTGTCCACTGGGAAAAGTCTTGATCTTTCCACTGATCTCCAGCGTTCTCATTTAGTCTATTATAAGACGAGGTGGAGGCCAGTGCCGCAGTTTCCACTCTCTTGAAAACGCCTTTGCTCGTACCCAGTACTTCTGCCCGCCTGCCAAGGGTGAAAAAAAGACACAAAGAAGCACATTTACCTCATCTGTCCCTGGTGCTTTGGATGTTGCCCTCCAGAAGCTAAAGTAGTTCAGCGCTGCGCCTCTCACAGAATCGACTAAAAAGAGCTCGTAAGCATTATGACCATAATGGACTTTAATGAGCATCGAACGCCTATTATTCGAATGTGCGCCAAAGATTTTTGGGCTGTGATGCTATCAGAGATAAAACAGAGATTGCATGAAAATTGTCTGTGCGTTTTATAGAATGGTTAATCAGGCAAATAATCAATTAAGCGCATGATTGCTTTTGATTTTAATAACCCTACAGTATATGAAGAGGGCCTATTTTGGCCTCTGCTGCTAACTGTTAGGCATAGCTGTAATTAGACACAGCATGTCCTCATTTAAGGAAGGTCTGTAAGTAATTAGCATCTAATTCCATTGTATCCGTAATAAGGAGAGATGGCATTGTCTAAGTCGAAATCACTAAAAGGCTGTTTCCCCCTAGCCAGTTTAGCTTTAAGTATTATCCGGGGGTCACTGAATTTAATAAACCCAATCTTCAGGAGGGTTTGATCGATGTCTTACCGTGTTGTTCTTCCTTGCTTAATATCTAGGGAATACATTCGTGCTTGCTTCCGAAACAGATGCAGTCTTCCGACGTACAGTACCGGGGGAACTATTTGAATGAATGTTAATGAATGTTTGAATTTATCTTAATTGATGGATACTGGTGCTTTGGTCACAAAGGGATACGCCGGTAATAATTCATAGGGGAACGTTTGTTCATAGCGCACATGCTAATGCTAAAGGTTGAGTATTCTCTTTGGTTCTCTCTCTTCTCTTGTAGTTGCTCACAAGGGGACTTTGTGACACACACAGCGTGGCTCAACAGATCAAGTATACTGTACACCGGAGAGGATAAGTGGTCCGTGGACCCCCGGGTGAGTTTGGTTACTCTGAACCAGGATGAGTTCACCATCAAAATTGAGGATGTGGACTTGGCAGATGAGGGCCAATACATCTGCGCGGTGCAGACTAGCAGCAGACCCCGAACCACATCCGTGCACATCATCGTTCAAGGTGAGTTTGGAGTTTTCTGATGTGTCACGGTGTAGAGCGCTAAGGGCAAAAGCTTTCATGCGCTGTTGATTTATTTTTTAAAAGCGTACTTCATCCAAAAATGGAAGTACTGTCATCATTTACTTATTCTCATGTCATTATGTGTGGCTTTCTATCTTCTTTTCTGAATAAAATATATTGCAGAATATCTAGAGTGCTCTTTTCTGTAATGGGGATTGGAGCTGTGAAGCTCTAAAATGACAAACAGGACCATAAAAGGGACACAAAAGCAGTCCATATGACTTCTGTGCTGTATTTCTAGTCTTCTGAAATCAGACAAACCGTTGTTTGAAATCGTCAAACTTGATGCAATGCGTCCTGATTATGAACTGAACTTAGTAGAGAGATTTTGAGCGAATGACAATTTACATTTTGGTCTTTATTTCACATAAAGCTATTGTATGACTTAAAATAAAATGCAATATCATGCCTAAGTTGTGCCGACCACTTTTATGGTGCTTTTTTATCACTTTTGGAGTTTGATAGTCCCGTTTCCCATTATAAGAAGTAAAGATGAGGTTATATTAGTGAATTTTTCCAAGCAAAAAGATCAGCTGTCAGTAGTGTAGCAATGTATGAAGCACTGCTCACGCGTAAGTCACTTTAAAACTAAGAAGCATTCTGTTCATTATCATGTGAGCTACTTAAACCCATTGTGAAATTTGTGTGTGAAAAAGTTTCCTAATTTATGCCGAAATTCCCTGCGTGAATTCCTGTTGCAAAAAAATAATTGCCTGCAGTCACTGCACATTAACACTGTATATTCTACAGTATTTCTTTTGTATTTCCTGTAAGACAAAAAGTCTTGACAAGTTGAGGGTGAGTAAATAATGACAGAATTTAAATTTTTAGGTGAATTATCCCTTCAGTAGCTTGTGCATGTTTGTGTGCACATGCATATGGATGTGCAGTCTGGGTGTTTGTACAGGTATAATAGCATTTTTAGAGAGGCCATTTTTCAGTATCGGTTAGAAACACCTTGAACTCCAGTTACGATATTAGGTATTTTAATGAAGTGGATAATTATGTAATTAATGCTGATTGTGTAAAACCTTGGGGGTGCATTTTTTGCTCCTGATTTGTGAGTCCAGAGTTAATATGATTGATGGCAGTGTCATTCCTGTGCAGTGATGCAGTAAGTCATAACAGTGCCGACCGGAGGTACTGTACACTGACTAGATATTTAGAGCACAGCATCTCGCCTCTGCAGAATTCCAGCTTTCATTGCAAAACTCATTCAGTAATACTGTGGGAATTTGTAATAATCCTTTTTTGGTAGTTAATTGTTCATTCCAGCACTATTTCTTCATTGAATGATTAATGATTGCAGAAAGGAACTGGGGGAAAAGTTCTTCTAAATTGTGCTGGTATGAACATTTAGGGTGGCCGAGATTTTTCCAAAAGGGGTCCTGGATCAGCATCCTTCAACATGGTTTTTGGGGTGGGCTGGTATTTAAAGGGGTCCTATTATGCTTTTTCACTTTTTTAATTTTAGTCACTGTGTAGTGTGTATGTTTGGGCATAAAAATACAAAATCAAGACTTTGTAAAAGAGCATAATAGGATCCCTTTAAGGGCAGAACAGCCAATCAAGAGCCGTGGAGATGAATGGAATGGGAATGCTGGGCAACTTTCTCCTGTTATAATTGTGTATAATATGGTGTTATATGATCTTGGCTTATTCACTATATCAATCTATTATTTTTGTCAGATCTTAGAGAATGTTTTTTCCTGGGCCAACAAAAAAAGTTGCAATTAGAAAACTCATAGTGGATCCTAACCAACATGATCAGAATAATTTGTTAAAGTGAATGTTCTTTCTTTCTACATGAAAGTACAAGCCTTTGATTTTTTATTTATTTATTTATTTGTTTGTGTGTTTCTTTGTTTGTTTGCCGCAATTCTGTACCATAATGGAAATTGGTCAAAAGACAAGTTAATAAGAACTACTACTTTTTCCTCCAACTAAATGCTTATTTTCTGAATCAATATATTCCCAGACTTGAATCAGTATTTTTTTTTTTTAAGTATTATTATTATTGTTGTTTTTAAAATCCCAGCTCATCTTCACTGTTAAAGTCAGATTTGCTCTTCTTTCTGGTAGTTGTTCTTGCTGAAAACATAAATCATACTTTATGCACAAATACATTACATTGAACACTTCCAAATAAATAAGTACAGTAACTGAATAATAATTCCTTTATTGATGAAAATTCCCATTGAGGAAATGCATTACTTCCATTCCATTGTGCTACAGAATTTGCATATAGCAACATATTGTTTTATGTTTACTGTAAAATGATTTTAAACAAAATCGATCTGTGAATAAAATCATCTATTTACCTTACATGTTCTGCATACTGTTGATTATAGGTTTCTTCTTTTAACTCCAAAAGTGCAGTGTTGTAGTTTTTGTCCTGAAAGGCAAAAAAGTGAAGAAAAAGTACCAGAGACCAATAAGAGGAAAATAACTCCGGTTCAGGGAAGTCTACTTATTAACTTGTAGCTAATGGTTCAGACCTGGATTTGTGTTAGTTTATATGCTGCGGTTGAATCTTTGTTTGTCGCAATTAGCCTCACTGACACATGGTTCTGAGAGAGTCTTTGATCCATAAAGGAAGAACCGCACGTTGGTTTAGATGAGTTCATACTTGCGTCAGTGGAGAAGACTGCTCAAGACATCATCAATTAAACCCAACTTGAGATCAAAGAATGGGCAGAATTTGGGAAAAAGCTGCATGAAATATCTCCCTCACATCTCTGGAAATTGTAGGCTATTAGTGGTGTTTGCTGAGGCAAGCATCACTGTTGCTCGGTGAATATAGTATTTGAACACATGTATTGCTGTGACCTCATTCTGCATTGCTTTCTGCTTTACACATGAATTATAGCTCAAATCATTTGGGTTTTTGATGAAACGTGTTATTACTTTTCTAAGTTGTGTAAAAATACCACTTTGACTTGATTGAAGGACACAGATGAGCCATATGCACAGAAGCAGGGTTGAGCATCATTTTAAACTGAACTAAGAATGTCTTAAAGGTGTAGTAAGCTATTTCTGAGAAACGCTGTTGAAAGGGGATCAGACTGAGCACCAAAACACACTTGTAGCCAATCACCAGTAATGGGCGTGTCCATTCATGACGGGGGAGGTGCCTGTGTTGCATGACATGTTCGTGAATTTAGCGGCGGACCTATCAAGATCGAGGTATGCTACTTCAGCCTGGTTTCATTGTTTATATGTGGGCAGTAGTACGTAAAGTTTACTGGCACGAAATGCATTTATGCATGTTTTTGATTGATACAGAAACGTACAATTTGGATGTATTACAACATTTAAAGTTAGTTATTTTTGTTTTCTTTGCACACAAAAATATTCTCGTAGCTTTGTAAAATTACGGTTGAACCACTGATGTCACATGGACTATTTTACCGATGTCCTTGCTACGTTTCTGGGCCTGAGAACATTCAGTTATGTTGCTGTCTATGGAGGGTCAGAGAGCTCTCGAATTTCATCAAAAATATCTTAATTTGTGTTTTGAAGATGAACAAAGGTCTTACGGGTTTGGAACGACATGAGGGTGAGTAATTAATGGCAGAATTTTCATTTTGGGGTGAACTATCCCTTTAAGTTGTTAATCGCTAATAATTTTATCTAGATTATTATCCTGATCCACTCCGTGAAGGTGTGCATTTCTCATTCAAACACACCTCACCAGAAACACAGCATGTCGCAATCTGTGACACTGCAGGTGAGAGCCAATGAACATTACATTTTTCTGCCGTAAATCTGTTGTAAAGCTTTTTGAAGCGGCAATTTTTGAATTTGTAACGAGCGCGTCAGCTCGGCGCGGGTATTGCTGCTTACGGTCGCTGCTCAGGATGGAGATGAAGATCACTAAATAAAGGCTTGAGTTTGGTTCTGTTCCTCGCAGTCATATGGATTCTGAAGATTTGGATTGCAGCGCACAAATAAAATGGCTCCTTTTGTAATTGTTGCATTTTTGGTGTATTTTATGGTTCTTTTGTCAGTCACAGCATGTCAGAGAAAATGCCTTTTGTGTCCCACGGCAAACAAAGTAAATATTACATGATAAGTAATGGTTAAATGATTGCTGAAATGTTAATGTTATATATGGGTTTAAAGTGTGGTCTTGTTTAACACTGTGTTTTTCTAAACGAGTTGGCAGCAAAAATCACACAGAACGCAATGTTATTTCGTATTAAGTAAATGAGTAAGCTTAATTTAATAATGCAATTGAAAACAATACCATTGATATGACAACTGAATGTAATAAAAAAATTAATGCAGCGATTTCAGTATTCATAAGAACTCATTTGTAAGTCTGTAAAGTTCATACGTAAATAATTTACATTTTATGTGTCATCAATACATCAGTATTGTACGTTAAAATGTTTTAAATATGTCAGTATTCTACGTTTTAGTGCCTGTGAAAACGTAAGTAAATGTAGGTTTTATAGAACGACATTTTATGTAAAGTACAAATTCTCATTGAATCCTTTTAGGTAGGAGCATGTTTGTTTTGGTGATTTAAAATATCAACAGCATTTATCAGAAATCACTTACTGCATCTTTAAAGGGGTCATATGATGCGATTTCATTTTTTCCTTTCTCTTTGGAGTGTTACAAGCTCTTGGTGCATAAAGAAGATCTGTAAATTTGCAAAGACTAAAGTCCCAAATCCAAAGAGATATTCTTTATAAAAGTTAAGAGTCAGCCACACCCCCCTAAAACGGCTCGTTCGAACACGCCCCCACATATCTACCTCACTATGTGGGAAGATTTGCATAACACCGCCCAAATGTTCAGCAAAGAAAGAAGGCGTAACTTTTATTCTCGCTGTAGTATTGTTGCCGCTGCCGCCATGTCCTGAAGACGCTGTGTGCTTCATTGTGAAAGCGAAACTACTTTGTTTGATCTTCCAAAAGAGGACGATATCC